ATATCTCCAGCCTTTTTTTTTTTTACTTTGAGGCACGGTCTTGCTATATTGCTAAGTTGCCCAGGCTGGCCTTAACCTTGTGATTCTTCTGCCTCAGCCGTCCAGGAGGGTGAGATTCCAGGCACGCACCACCACTCTTAGCTTACAATTTTTAATGACTGAGAAAAGGCTGAAGAAAACTAGTATTTAACAGATGTGAAAATTAAATGAAATTCAAGTTTCAGTGCCTATAAAGTTTTATTGGAACACAGCTATACCCATTAGTTTGTGTATTAGCCATGGCTGCTTTCACAGTACAAAGGCAGAGTTGAGTACTTGAGACAGAGACCATGTGATCTGCAAAGCCTAAAATATTTATTTCCTGACCCTTTATAAAAATTGTTTATTAACTTTTGCTCTAAAGTTTGGCTGTGACATTTAAAGAAATAAGACACAGAAAGATAAGAACAGCTTTGGGGAAAGAGTACTGGGACTTATGAAGTAAGAATCAGTCAATCTCTTCAGCAAAGATAACCTGATCAAGCTTTTGGTGAAGCTATAAGTAGATCCTCCTGGCGGAGTTAATTTTCTGCTAGGAAATGTTACTCAACAAGTCAGAGTAAAGAGAATATTGCAATGCAGTAAAAACTCTCCAACACTCTAAGTAAGACGCAGAATTTAATTCCACATGAGCTGAGGTGAGAAAGAGTGGAGTAAAAGGACAGAAAGGGCTCAGTATGGGTTAACTTACAATTCTTCCCTCACAAAAACCTTGGGCAAGAGACAGAATCAAAGTCATACTTACATAAAATTTGCCAGGGAAACTAAATTGGGACCTATTGTAAACATCAGGGAGGATGGTGTAATTCTTTGAGTTCAGAATGTAAACTACAGTTTCAATTTTATGATGTGTACCAAACAGTGCTCCATGTGTACAAAACAAATGGATGTATAATCTCCAAAGTTTTACTAGAAAACGTTTGAAAAATAGTAAATTCTTGAGCACATAATGCACATGATGAATTAATTAACCCTCTTTGAAACATGATCAGGGAGAATGGCGATTCATATCCTGATTTTCCAGATGAGAAAATGGAAAAGAAAGGAGTAACCCAGCCATGGCCACAGGGGAGAGAATCTCGGAGCCCTGGGTTTTAATCCAGCCCATGAACAGTGTACTCTGTCAGTTGGCTCTCACTCCATCTGAAGACTGATTTTTCACTGATTAGGATCTGGGACTGACTATTAGTTAGGAAGGCAAAAGCAGAAGGGAACACAGGTACAAATGCCTGTGTGCTTGCAGAAATAGTGGTGATGATGTTTGTAGTTTGTAGAACTGTCACAAAAAGTCCAAGCTGGAAGGCCATTTTAAGGACATCAAATTGAATTCCCTTATTTTACTAACAGAAAACTGTGATCCAAATGGGAAAATTTCTTATCTAAGGCTACACATCTTTTCTGAGCCTCTGCATAGACGAAGGCATCACCTTCCTTTAATTTCCTGGCTTCTTAGTATGCAGCGTGCCCTCCCCTTCATCTTACCACTTATCCTACCCACTCCTCCACAAACCAGTTTTTCTAGTCATGCCAGTTTTTGATCCACAGACCATACCCACACACAACTTGCCACACATACTCTTTCACTGAATTTCCCTCACTAAATTTTAGTGATTTTACTCCAATGTCTATTACCAATATTTCTTCCGTCAAAGATATTCAGCTTTTTCTCTGACCAGCCTCACTCTCACCCCAAGCTCCAGTATTACTAATGATGAGAAAATGCAGCGCTGTTTCCCCCTATACCGCCCCTGCAAGAAAACCTGGCCAGATTACAATCGATTGTGTAGAATCTTCCACTAGTGACAGCATTAAAGCTTCATACTTTATGAACCACCAAAGCTAGAAATGAATTTCTGTCTGACATGCCAGGCTTTTAACTCTTGTACCTGTGCCCAGTCCAGAAATTTATGAAAACTGTGACTAAAGTGATAATCAACACTCCAAATACTCGGTCTGAGTTAACTGACAAGAAGAAACAACTGAAGAAGAGAAAGATTTGTGCTTCTATTCTCTCCAAAACAGGTAGAATTCCAAGTTTAAATAAGGCACTCCTTTAGAAAGGATATCTGAGCAATAAAGATGCATTGTAGAAATGGGAAAAAAATCAATAAATGCTCTTTCTGAGTAATAAGATAGACCCTGCTTTCAAAAGGGATAATGATGGTAGTAAACTTAAGCAACCAACTTTTACAGATGGGAGGAGAAAGAAAACACCAATAATTTTTTCCTTTGGTGTGTGTGTGTGTGTGTGTGTGTGTGTGTGTGTGTGTGTGCGCGCGTGTGTGCACATGTATTTGTGTGTGTTATGACCTGCCTTCTCATGTCCTTCAAAGGGTTTAGAACTGGAATCTGGATTTGATACTGCAATGTAACCAAGGGGCTCAGAAAGTTTCCCCTTCATGACTTTACAAGGAATCCACTGATAATTATAGTCTCATGAGCTCACAGGAGGTCATTTTCTCAAAGAAAATACTACTAAGTTTGGCTAATACAAGTGACTTATGGATCTGAAGCATTTTGAGGCCTCAAGGATATCTAAGTGCTCTCTAAATTGAGTAATCTCCACCCAAGTACCTCATCTCTTTCCTTCCCTGCTATCACAGAGCCCAGAATCCATGTCATAGTACAGTGCTTGCCAGGCAGCACTGCAAGGTCCCTTCTGCATACCTCCTTCCTTCAGTCGTAACTTCTATAGGAAGCTCCCATGTAGAACATATAAAATGACAGCAAAATCTCCTTCACAATATGTTGGCCATTTCTCCTATTTTCTGAAAACAATTTGGTGACCCAGATCTGTAAAACCCAGAGGCAGCATCAAGTATAACCTAATCTATCTGACCATTGAATTTGCTGGCTCACTTGCTACCCTGAACTTATTCCCTATCAGATATGACTACTACCATGGTGCCAGGCTTGCAGATATACTAGCTTTAGATAGCCTCTCTGGTTCATTCCCTGTTTAGAGACAGGCCCTGTGGGATGATGGCATGATGGGATATTGTCTTGGCTACTTTTCTCTCATTGCTGAGACAAAATATCCAATGCCCAATATTGAGGAAGGAAAGGTCTATTTAGCTCACAGTTTGTGCAGGTTTCAGTCCATAATCAGCTGGCTGCAAGGCAAGGTGGCATGGCAGTGGAGCAACAGTTCATGGTGGCAGAAGACAGCAAAAGAAACAAGAGCGAAAAAGGAGAGCAGGAGAGCAAGCCTCTTTCCCTCCCTTATGTTGTATGCAACCTACCCACCCCAGGGTGGGTGTAGAGCTAATGCCCATAATCCCAGCATTGGACCATGAATCAATCACAGACTCTAGAAGTCTTCCCCCATGACTTCAAGAGGCTTTGGGGGGACATCTAGACACAAACCACAACAGGTGTGGAGAAGTATCAGGGTCTCATGTGGGAAGTTGTGGTAATCTGAAGTTCATGGAGTTTCTCCTTAGTACTTTTTCTGATAGCTATAATTTCATAAATGCTAGTAAGAAATACACTGTCCTCAGGATCTTTCTAATCAGCTGAGGCCTAGGTCCTGGGGCACTGTACCTCATAATAGCCTAGCACGAACTGTAGCAAAGGGGTGATTAGAGCTATAGTGGAATATGCAGCATGTTTTCAGTAATACAAAATGCCAGTTTCATGGCTCTGGGGACTGGAAAAAAAAACTTAAAATGACACTTTTCTGTTTTATATGTATTCCTATTACCCAGCTGAAATGATGAAAGTACAACAATCTTTATGATTGGCTATCAACAAAGACTCCAATTAAAGGGCACCCACTTTTTGTCTTTTCTGTCAATGCCAAGAAATTGCTGACTCTTCTGCTATCCTCTCCTGGGTATCAGCATATTCTTAATGAAAGGTGAAGCTTAAATATATGCCTTTTACCACTGTTCTTATGATTTCTGGTCCTTATATAAGAAAGGTTCTCTGATTTGCTTCTGCCTAGTACTTGATTGTTCCAGACCAGGGAGAAGGAAGGAAAAAGGACTTAGTAAGAAGTATCTCCTTTGTGGTAGGTGAGAGCTGGGGCGCATATTGGTGTTTAAGAGGTGGTTGTGGTTCCACAGTACAGTATCTCTGTCTAGGGGCTGATTATTAGTATCCCTTTGAGAAGGTAGCTCTTAGTACAGGGAGGGAAGTGAAGCGGATTAATATGGGGATAAAGCCCAAAGTGGCTAGGAACTGAGGAGTCACTAGCATATATAACAAGTCTAGAAATAGGTGGGTTTGTGCCATAGGATATAAACTGACTACTTCTAGGTGTTGGACAAACATGAGTTGTTGTAAGCTAAATACAACTAAGGATCCAGGCTTCTGCCTATCTAGTCACATATACAATGTTACTTAGTTGGGATTCTGGACCAATTTAGGGTCAGGCCTCAGGTGAGGCGGATAAAAGTGTCTCTTTACTTTGGGTTCTTATTTATTTAGGAGTTATAAATGCAGAGAGAGGTCCCAAGGGGACAGCAGCAGGAGGGAGCAGGTGCAGAATCTGATGGTCTGCTGAACAGTGAGAACACTTTCTTTCTGAGGCTGAGGCCTGGAATCTTTGCGGAGGAGCAGTCTCCTATTCACCACAGAGAACAAGCTAGGGACTCAGTTGGAGCTTCTCCACTTCTAACCTCTTTAATAAGAACAGGTTTTCCCTCAATAGGCAGTAGAGTGGAAAATAAGCAGGAAGAAAATTATTTTTTTCCAAATCATTAATTTATCTCCATTCCTAGGACGTAACAAGCACCAAGCACCAGATGGGACCACTTCTATTACTTATATTGCCTGTACAACTAAGGGAAAACCAGATGACCAGAAAGTATGAAAATTTGTTTCTTTAGCTTATAGGTTCTTTGAGAGGACTCTGCCAAAGACATTGTTCCTGACATGAATCCTGGGCCTTGGAAGGCACATATCTCTCTCAGAGAAAATGAGGAGAGGGAAACAAATGAATGTACAAGACCCTTTACCTTCAGCAGCTCTTTTGAAGAAGACCTTGCAGCTGCCACAAGTGAGAGCTCCATAGTGACACCCAGAAGCTTCATCTCCACAGATCAGGCAGGTCTTCTGCGGTGGAAAGTAATAGTCGATGGGCAGAACGTGGTCCCTGGCATCCTCCAAACTAGAAAGACACACAGAAAACAAAGCAAGACATGTTAACAGGTGGCAAAAATAGCAGAGTAAAATTCTAAGGTCTTTAGGAGTAAAATGTATGGATAATTTATTATAAGTCATTGCTCAAGTGAGTCAAGCTGAATTTTCCTAGGACTTCTCCTAAGGATGATCCTGATTTTTGCAGCATTTCCTATAGCATGAGCCAAGATTTTTGGATCCTGATAAAGGATCAGAGAAATTCTCTGGGATAAGCCAATCTCATAGATTTTATCTACATGAGAGAAAAATGAAGGCAAGAAATGGGTGGTTAAGCTGCCTAATTTAAGGTGGTGGTCAGGCAACATTTTTAAAGCAATGAAACATTACCTTATGACATTACCTCACCCAAAGGAAGACTTATGACCAAACTGACCAAAATCAAAATGGTTTCATGTGCTTTTCTTTAGTTCTTTGAGCCTCAAATCTCATCTGTAAAATAGGGATAATATCACCCACCCTTCTGAGTTGCTACAGTAAGTGACAATATAAATCAGACTGTAGTCCTTAGGCTGAATACACAAAGGAAGTGTCATAATTATTACATAAGTATTACCATACCATTCTTCACTGTTTTTTTCTCAGTCTTTCACTTTCCTTAAAAGTCTTTCTAGATCACATGGGCATCATTTTGCCCACATTTTACAAAGTAGCAGAATCCCTGTCTGATGTTTTTGTTGAGAAATAATATATAGTTATATGGGAAATCTTTTGTGCTGCTATCAAAACATTTGGCCATTATAAGACTCAGGGGTTCCTTGGGCAAGGATGGAGCTTCAGAAGAAACCTGGTCTCACTGTCTAACTCCAAGAAGGTCTGTGCCTGAGTTCTTCAAGTTGATTGTGAAGCGAAAAGGCCAGAAAACCAATCTTAAAAACTTTGCACACTGGTGATTCTTAGTCTCCCATAGTAATTAAATCAAATTCAAAGAAATGTCATATAGGTCTTACTAACCAAAGGTCAGCTTTTGTCTTTCCTATGTCCTATGTCTAACCATAACCAAAACTCAAGTGACCTTATCGGTTAATCTGTCTCAGAGGGATGGCCAATGGCCACAATATCATCCACAGAAATGCAACTTTTATATTTCATGAGTACATCTTCCTTAAAAACAAAAGGAAGGCAAATAAGCCCTAATGGGAGCCTGTTTGCTATGCTGTATGATTTCAACACTTCACAACAACTTAGTGAGACAAGCTTGTTTTCTCATTGTATGTCCATTGGACTAATGAAAGAGTAAGACTCAGAGGGGACAAGCCCAGGTGATTTGATCCCAAGCCCAGGATTATTTGACTCCAAGTTTGACATAGTTTCTTTTACCCTATTGTCTTCCCATTACTTATCTTTACTACCAGTCACTCTTTGGTTATCACGCTCAACACAGTCATCAGAATCCAGCAAAAGCATCAAAGGTTATCCTCCCCTTAACTGCAAATGAGCAAATCTGACAGGGCAATAGCAAAGAAAGCTTTTCCTCAGGCTATATTTTACAAGGATTTCATCTCCAAGACACAAATATCAGCCTTTATTCAAGTTCCAAGTACAACAAAAAACACTCAAAATGTTATGTAGATATGCAAACCCAGCCACTGATTATAGTGGCCTACCTTCTCTCCTCTCAAGCCTTCCCTTTCCTGCTCTAACAGGAAAGCCAGAGGGAGTCTCTTCAACAAATCAAAGTCAGGGGGGCCATATATTCAAAAGTACCTCACTTCTAATATGCGATTCAGCCAATTGCAAAGAAAGCCATTCTCCTGGCTAAAATGTCATTTCCTATGGTGAAGATTGTGTTCCCATCCTCAGTCTTTAAACCAGAAATAGTACAATTTTTTTACCAGTTTCTTCCTCTCTCCACTTTCTTAACTTCTATAATTAATGCAAACAATTCAGATAAAATCAGCAGGACAAGTATTTAGGCATTCCACATGCCAGGCCATTTTTTTTGTATATTATCTCATTTAACTTCCCAAACATCCCTGTAGCTCTGTATTATTTCTATATTGCCAAAGAGGAGACTGATGCTTAGAGTAATCAAGCAAATTTACCTAAAATCATATATCTAGTAAATGGCAATCCGAGGATTTCATCTGAAGTAAGTCTGACTCCAAAGTGCAGATTGTTATCCATTGACAAACCATGTTATGAGACTGAGGGGTGAGATTTAGATAGATCAGTTCAACTCAGCTCTTGGCACCTAGGCTTATGGATGAGGCACAGACTAGATTCTAGTGATACAGTGGTCCTCAAGATATTTATTGTCCCTTCACAACTCCTCATCTGGTAGAGAAGACTGGAAGCAAAGAGTAAAATAACATAGTAAATGATATACTAAAAGCAGACTGCAGACTGCTAAAGAATAAGAAGCACCTCAAAGACAGGGCTATTTTTTTAAAGGTATAAGGTATAAATGGGTAAATTAGATTATGATAACAACAGTGATTATAAGTGATTATAAAATAAATATTAAATAAGTAAAATGGAAACATGCCAAGAGCAAATAAGATGTCTTTTTGCAAAGATCCCTTAAGAAATAGAAATGAGGAATTGCTGTTCAGCAGGTCAATGGTTTCGTTTAAAGAAAATAAGTGAGTTGTACAGCAGTGCTGTGCAAACTGTGTCTCTATTCCACAATATAGGATTTCCAGTTAAATTTTCTTATGAGCATAAACTTCATATTATTATTAAAAATTTTTGAAAGAAATATATATTTTCATCAATACCAAAATTTGAAATACAGTTAAAAGTGGTTAAACTACTAAACAAATTTACAATTGAGACTAAAATAATCAACATTTTTATTAGATTTGAGGTTAATGAAGTACACATTGCACAAAAATCACTATTAAGAAGGAATAAATGGAGGAGAACTAATAAAGGGAATTTCACAATGTGGACTTTTGCTAAGTAAAACTCACATTGACTAGAGGCCTGAGATAACTTCTGACCAGTTTTTCTCTGTCTCTGTCTCTGTCTGTCTGTCTGTCTGTCTGTCTCTCCCTCTCTCCCTCCCTCAAAGTGTACTGAACAGCACCCCCACTCACCCTGCTTTAGTGAGGACAAAAGGTACACTGCAGTTCTGCCTCTTGAACTAAACTTTGGGAACTGGAAATGAAAATTACAGCTGTAGTCCCTCTCCTAGGTTTATATCTCAGGGAAACTTGTGCACATACATATGAGGAGGCACTTGCAGGAACGCTCACAGCAGTTTTATTTATAAAAGCAGAAAGACATTCAATGATAGAAGAAAAGATAAAAATTATGGCACATTCATTCAATAAAATACAACTCAATAATGACAAGAAATAGGGTAAAGCTATACATAGGTTTATCTCACATGTTAATGTTGTATAACATGGCTAACTCACAAAAGCATGAAGTTGAGTAGAAGCACAAACAAATGATATGTTATTTGGGAACATATATGTGAAAAAAACTATCAAAATCCAAGGGAACAGTAAACACAAGTATAGACTAATATAGTTCTGAGGGGAGGCTCACTCTGGCAAAGGAGGATACAAGTAGATTTATGCATTCATTTAAAAAACATTAACCCAATACCACACACCAGGTACCATTCTAGGTACTGAGGGATAAAACAGTGAACAAAACAGACAAAAATCCATGCCCTCACAGAGCTGGCATTCTATTAGGCCTCCTGTGATCTTGGGCTTAACATTGTTGCTTAGTAATTAGGACTCATGAGTGTTCATTCAATTGTTATGCTGTATAATTTACTTACATGTTTCATGTATTTGACTATAGCAGCACATAATAAAAGACAAATTAAATAAAAACCAGAGAAATTTTGAATATCTCCCCCAAAAATGTCAACGGCAAGCACAGCAGCAGAGGTCTGTTTTTAGGACAAGTGCAGAATTTGCATGCAACAGTGTTTTCTTCTCACTTCTCTCGGTTACATGGCCACTTATCATCCAGAAGCAGGGTATTTGATTTTGTGAGCCTGAAGCAAGTATTGCATCACAGAATTGAAGAATTCTGAACTGAGACACCACTTGCTATTCTCCAAAAGTTGCACAACTAGTTAAGTAAAAGTGGATTCAGGTTGTCAGCCTGCAAATGCAAGATCAACTGTAAGGAGGTGGGGCTTGTGAACCCTCAGCACTCAGTTGAGTTTTTCAGTCTCTCTGCCCCTTCTTTTTCTCTTCTGTCCTCTTTCCCCACTCCCTACTCTTTCTTCCAAGGAAAATTAGGGGATACTTTGAAACGAATGACTCATTTGAGCAAGTTCAATTGTGGAAGCAGGATAAAATGGAAAAGTCACAGAGAAATTTTTCTTGTAGGGCTTTACAACCAGCCAGACTTGGGTTGGAATCCTACCTCCACCACTGAATTTTAGGCCAAGTCATTAAGGCTCTCTGAACTCCACTGACGCTATCTGGTGAGATGGGGATACTATGACCTCTTGAGGGGTCTTTGAGAATTACATTAGCCAGTACAAATTAAGGGCTTTTCTCTGTACCTTCCATATGGTTAGATGTGCCATAAAGTTTGCCTGTGTTAAGCTTCGTCTTGTCAAAAAACAGAAATGTCTGTTTTCCTAAAAACTAAAAAATAGCGTTCTTCTTGGCTATGCAGGTATTTTGGAGAAAGAAACACATGAGGAGAGAAAGGGGAAGATTGATTTTCCCTATCCCAGAATGGAATCAGGTACCCATAAGAAGGCATTCACCACTACCCCTTCCTCTCAGACCACAGAAACATTACTTTCTTTTCTGCCTCTAAAGGTTTTCCTTTTATGGACAGTTAATATGAATGAAATCATGCAATATGTCTTCTTTTTGGATTTGATTCTTTCTTTTTTTTTGGTTTTTCTCCGGTACTGGGAACCGAACTCACAACCTTGCGCTTGCCAGGCAGGCACTTTGCCGCTGAGCTAAATCCCCAGCCCCTGGATTTGATTCTTTCATTTACCATAATGTTTTCTATTATCATCCATAGTGTAGCATGTAT